ATATATATATATATATATAAGGTGTGTTATAATGTTAAAATAATAAATAACTTTTTTTTAGAAATCGTAAAATTATATTTAACATAATGTTTAATAATAACAATAATCATATTAATTACTTCTTATGTTAAAACGATACATATTGCATTGTGACATAATTTCAGAGCATTCCCGTGATTATACAATTGCAATAATTATTTTTGTACTTCGATGTAGGTCAATCACTCATAGTGCATCCGAGTAGTAAAATTATATGTTTGGGAAAAATTTTGTTGAATTTTTCTCGTTGAGCGAATTATACAAATACGATATTGTAGATAATTGTAAATAAGTATTCAAAAAATCTTTGCATGATACTCTAATTCCGACTCCGCCTCGGTGTCGGATAGACTAAGTGAAACGCCAGTTCTTCGTCTCAGACGATTATCCTCAGGACTCTAAAATAAATTAAAATTATAATTGTATCATAAAGAAATTTAATAAAAATATTTACTACTTTGTAATACATATATATATATATATAATATGAAAGATAAATATTTTAATATACAATATTTATAATATACATATTCAATCAGAATTTCAGGGATCTTTCATAGAATTGATATTGATACATAGGATGATTTTATAAATTGAAAAATTAATAGCATATATAATCTTTTCTAACTGAAAATGGGAAAAAAATTAAATGTGTCTTTCTAATTGATATTTTATCTTGTATATGTAACAAATACAGAGATTTGTATTTAACATGAATAATAAAAAATAAGACTTGCCTGATCTAAAATACCGGCAGTGGGTTCAGACGCGTATCCTACTTCCTGTGCATCTTCTTCCAAGTCCGCCTCGTATTCCTCTAGTTCGTCTGAGTCTGAATCTATATCGAGATCGATGTATCGGTTACCACGCGAAACTTTACACACCATCTGCGCAAGATCGGTGAAAGTGTATGAAGAGGGTGACTGTTGATTAGCCGCTTGGTATTTCGCTCGCATAGCTCTCGCATTCTCTCGATCCGCGTTGAATCGAGGGAGAACTCCGGCTTTTGATTGACCCTCGAAATACGTTTTCCCTGAAGAATGTGATTCATTTCAATCTTATAGATGTATTTAAGTACAAAGTTTTATTTCTTATTAATATGAAATTTATATTATAATATATTCTTTATAACATCTATTAATATTGATTTACAATTCTTTACAATGGATTTAGATTTAACATAAATAATGATACAATTCCTTACCGTGCTGGTATCCCACATCTTTAATCTCATCAAAATTGGCAAATTGGAGGGTCTTGTACTTATCAATCGGTGGTCTAATGTATTCGCAATAATCCGAACTTTTCACCTCTTCTAACTGGCGAACACAGCTCACATACGCCAATCTAGACTGGATATCTGGTAAATTTGGCACCTTCACAGGTGTGGCAAATGGATTCCACCGCTTCCATAGTAACCACCAACCGGACAACGAGTCCCCATAATTCGTCAAGTCTGTGTCGTCTTGTGACCCGACGTCAATGGCCAGAATATGATGTGCTCCTTGTCGCAACATTTCGTCAGCTTAAACGAAAATGTGGAAAATGTATGAATCGAGAACGTTAATATCAATTTATTTCTATTTTATTTCTAATTTATAAAATAAAATTATATAT